TGATAAATGATTTTTTGCCTGATAAACGATTTATTATAGTCATTGTTAATTATAAAAAATCACGGGATACCGGATAATAATAAATATCTTTTGAATAATCTTATTCTAGAAATTTATACTTTAATTTTTTTTTTATTTCGCTTTCCTTTGATTCATTTATTATTATATTTTTATATTTATCATGAATTTACTTTATTCATTTATTTTAGTTACTTTTTAAAAATTTAAATTTATAATTTAAATATTTTAAAAAAATCCTTGATATTTGTCAGGATTAATATTAATTAATGTATACTCCAACTTTGTCATTAATTATTTTGGGAAACGTTCTTGTATTTCATTAATAAATTTAAATCGTCATGGAACCGTCTAGCATATAGGGCCGACAATATCATTGCCAAAAAAAAATCCTGCAAATGTGACTTTACTTCGAGATAGACAATGAGAAAAAACTGATTTTATAATAGTCTCTTGTTGTTAATAATAAATTATATCTTAAATCGTTGTGTTGAGCATATCATTTTGACTATAACTTTATAAGACATGTTTCAATAACAATTGAAAAAAGCTATAATAGCAGGTTCTCTTCATGGGCTAGGGCTCTGTATATAATTATTAATGAAAATCCATAATTTTATTAAGTGAATACTTTATTACTTGTTGTGAGGTGACGTTCGTAGAACCATTAGGCATTTTTTTTTGTATTTTTGAATGCTTTAACTTTGAGTAGTTGATTTGACACTTACTCAGAGACTCGATCCCTTTTTGCATCCATCAACTAGTTGTTTTATTATTAGTTTTATGTCGCCAAAACTTGATATGCTTCGGAGAATTTCATCATTTACAATTTTAACTAGGGCCGAAATTTCGCAGTAGTAAATGATTCTATCATTTCAATGAACATCAATTATTGATATAAATAAGCTATGAAAACTTAATTAATATAATCCCATCTCTTATTTATGAATTCGTCAACTTATTCCAGAGACCAGTAAAATTAGATGCTGATATATTTATATGCAAAGAATCTAAATGATTTCGCAAGTATTGTCACGAAGATGTAGTATTAAAAAATATCCAAACAGTAACCTCAGTTAAAAAGCCATTGCTAGTTGTTCACTATCAGTTGTCCGATTGAACAGTATGCAAATTCATTTTTTACAAGTTCTCAACTAATTATTTCTAATATCATATTCTCTGCAGTTGAAATGAATCTCGGATATATGAACGACAGAAAGGAGGAGTGCAGAATTAACACACAAGTGGTTCTTTCAATTTGTTGAAGATTGAAGTCAAAATCGAAGTTTGAGGGTTTATATGATAATAGAATTGAACGACATCTATTTTGAGCATTACGAGCACGTATCACTTTCAATTTGCTAGAAAATGGAATTAAAAACAGCGTCAAAATGAACTTAGCTTCGATTTGATGGTTCTGATCAGAAACTTAAAATCTTATATCGAATGGTAATAAAGTTTTCAATATGGAGAGTCTCACACAATTGTCCCGAGCACTTCATGAATGAAGAACTGGACAAGATTGTTTGAGAAACCTAAGGAAAAAATTTACGTATTTGATAATGTTAATTGTAATAAAGCTACGACCCGAGAATTCGTTTTGGTTATTTTGATCAATGCGGTCCGTTTTATCCAATAAATAATGACAGTACGGGCACTATTAATAAACATCTCGCAGAATGTCATAGATATAGTTTAAATTAAATACGGCACACATACAGTCATTTTATTTTAGTTTAGCTGGGATCACTTCTTTAATGGTTAAGTGGGTATAATCCCAATGCTCAAAATGAAAAATTTATCAAAATTAAATAAGTATCGCATATGGTTCGATTGATTCCAAGCCATTAATCGACATCTTAGCAAATGAGGAGTCTAAAGAATTTGAATGTCATTTTACGGGCAAGGGTACGATTGTTACAAGTTCAAGTATCGTTGACGTTTTAGGATAGATGTCAAAGATTCTTGAATTAATATTTCTAATAATTAGTTATTTAATTCTGGGATAGTATAAAATTGACGAAAAATGGTTTGCATTTTCCTAATAGCTTTCAATTGTCATTTGATTTGCATTAACGATTATTTAGAAAAATACATTGATTTTATAAGAGCTAATCACTTAAAAAGCGGACTTTATCTTTGAATACAAATTGAAAGTCATTATTTCAAAAGGAATTGGATACTAAGTAATATATTAAACGACAAAATCCTACCTTCAGCTTAAATTTAGCATCATATCATTGCTTAAAATAAAATTTTTTTGAACTTTGTAAGTAGAATATTGTTGGTAATGGTAAATATGACAGTAAGTCTATATATAAATTTAGGTATTTTTTTTTTTTTTTTTAAAAAAAAAAAGCTTTCAAACTCCAAAGTATAAATTTATCGATTTCTCAATTATAATGACTAGGCTTTTCATTGCTCTTGTAATTTGGCGTATGCCAAACATTGTAATTTTTACTATCAAAATATAAATTACAAAAAAAAGTTTTTTTTTTATAAATTTCATAAATGGAAACAAGTTTTACAATTAACATTCACGTCCATAGTTTATTTTAAAATTAATTTATCGTTATCATTATTCTCTTTTATTTTTGTTGCATTAAGAGATTATTCAATCTTTTTTTATACCAATAAATAGCATCGTTAATACTTTTTTCTGTTCCTTCACCTTTTTCATACAAATTTGCAAGACATTTTTGCGCATTGCTATTTCCTCCTTCAGCAGCTGATTTAAATAAATCAAATGCCTTATTTTTATCGACGTCAACTACAATTCCATGCTCATAATAATATCCAACTTTATATTGAGCCTCCAAATATCCTTGATTAGCCGATTTCTTAAAAAATTCAAATGCTCTCACAAAATTTTCACAAACAGCTTTTCCTGTCTCGTAAATTTCACCTAATTTATATAATGCAACTTTATTGTTATCATTTGCAGCTATATGATACCAATAATTAACTTTATCTAAATCACTCACTAAACTATTAAAAGACAATTTGTGTACATCAAAATCTTTAATTCCGGCTGCCTCGTTATATAATTCCAATCCCTTTTCTTTATTAATTTCCGTTCCAATTCCATTAATATAACAATCACCGAGCTGAAATTTTGCATTTATATTTCCTTGATTAGCAGCTTTTTGATAATATTCAAATGCTTTCAGCACATCCTTTTCCACACCATTACCTAATTCATAAAATTCTCCCAAATTATGCTGTCCAACCTTACATCCTTTTTCCGCAGCTTTCTGATACCAATGAAAGGCTTTTTCTGGATTCTTTTCTGTACCTTCACCATTTTGATATAAATAGCCAAGATTATTTTGCGCGGATTCATATCCATTTTCTGCAGCTTTCTGATACCAATGAAAGGCTTTTTCTGGATTCTTTTCAGTACCTTCACCATTTTGACATAAACAGCCAAGATTAAATTGTGCGACTTTATGACCATTTTCTGCAGCTTTCTGATACCAATAAAAGGCTTTTTCTGGATTCTTTTCTGTACCTTCACCATTTTGATATAAAACGCCAAGATTAGCTTGTGCGTCTTCATGTCCATTTTCAGCAGCTTTATGATACCAATAAAAGGCTTTTTCAGTATTCTTTTCTGTGCCTTCACCATTTTGAAATAAACGGCCAAGATTAAATTGTGCGACTTTATGTCCATTTTCTGCAGCTTTCTGATACCAATGAAAGGCATTTTCTGGATTCTTTTCCGTACCTTCACCATTTTGATATAAATAGCCAAGATTAAATTGTGCCACTTTATGTCCATTTTCTGCAGCTTTCTGATACCAATAAAAGATTTTTTCTGGTTTTTTTTCCGTACCTTCACCATTTTTATACAAACGGCCAAGATTAAATTGTGCGACTTTATGTCCATTTTCTGCAGCTTTCTGATACCAATGAAAGGCTTTTTCTGGATTCTTTTCCGTACCTTCACCATTTTGATATAAACGGCCAAGATTAACTTGCGCGTATTCATGTCCATTTTCTGCAGCTTTTTGATACCAATAAAAGGCTTTTTCTGGATTCTTTTCCGTACCTTCACCATTTTTATACAAACAGCCTAGATTAAATTTTGCGACATTATGTCCATTTTCTGCAGCTTTCTGATACCAATAAAAGGCTTTTTCAGTATTCTTTTCTGTACCTTCACCATTTAGAAATAAACTGCCAAGTTTAAACTGTGCACTACTGTCTCCTTTATTAGCTCGTAGGTAAATTGGTGAATTTAGCGAGTTAGTTGGAATATTATAGCAACAATTTTCTGATGAAGAGTTGGGTGAAGTTGGTATACTCGTTATTTCAGAATTGTTACAGTCAAGTACTTTTAAATTTCGATGACTTTGCAATCCATCTGAGGCGTTCAATATGTTATCCTTATTAGTATCTGTAATAGTTAAATTATCAATATTATCACAAATAATTAATTCAAGATGTCTGATCCTCTCTTCTAATTTATTAATATTTTCTTCCTTGGCTTTGGCTTCATCTTCTTGTTCCTTAACCTTTTCTTCTAAATTATCAATAGTTTCTTTCTTGAATTTGGTTTCTTCTTCTCGCTCTCTAACCTTTTCTTTTAAATATTTGAATTGTGAAAGTAATCCTTCGTAATTTAGCTCTAATTCCTTAATTCTCGTTTCCAAGCCTTTTAGGGCTTTTTCTTTTAAAACCATTTTTTTTTTATTTTTGTCTTGCATAGAGAATTACCAATAGAAAATTATCTTTTACCAGCCCTCGGTTTAAATTTTTCCCATTTGTAATTCTTTCCATAAATGATCTAGTCTGCTCGTATTAAAAAGGATTTAACCGGATCGTCTTACCAAATAAAGTTAAGTGTACTGTCTATTGTAAATTCCAATTATAAGCGAAGAAAAAAAAATACATTGCTTTAATTTATTTATATAAATTGCCTAATTATTATGGTTATTTTTTTTTGTAATTGCATATGATGAAAATAAACCTATATAAAATTTTTTTTTCATAATAACATACATTTATCTCATGACATTAGTAATCTGCTTATTTTCTACATTGTTTAATCGCCACCATAGAAAATAAAAAAAAGTAAAAATATTCGATGAACAAAATGAAAACTTGAAAACATAAATGCTCGTAGCAACAAATTTTACACAAAGCAAGGAAAGAAGACTTGATACTTGTAGAATATAGAATTGGGAAAGTAATGACAAATTTTTGGAAAATTATTTGAAATAGTCGCGTGAGGTAATGTTAAGAAAGAATTTCTGAGAACGGTATTCTGAAAATTAAAAATTTTTTTTGCTTAAGATAGTAAGTGGAAATGGTGGCGTGACGAACAGAAACCTATTAGGTCGTCCGTCATTCACGGCTGCTAGCTGAGCCACAAAGCCAGTGTTGGGACACAGATTAGCTTGATAATGCCCATTTGGATATATATTACTAATTACCTAATTTCATTATCAAGGAACCAAATCTCGATTATGGCAAAGCAAGAAAGTGGTATAAGGAGCGTTCACGTCAAGTCTACATCTACCAACCAACAATTAAAATAAGTTCGCGTGAATTTGAACGGAAATGTAACTGCAGGAGTTATCGGACTGCCCAAGGAAACTGAATGTAGTCTAAATGTTAGTGGGAGATCAGACGAACATACTACACCGTTATATTCCTTGTCCGAATATATTCATTCGTAGGTTTACTTTATGCACTAAATTCTTTGCAGTGAGAAATCAGAGCAAGATGATGAATTTAAGCTTATTCAAGTAGGGCGAAAAAAATAAATAATTATATTAATTGTCTATAGTTGAAGCTCCGAATTTATTAATGTTTTTTCTTGTATTGTCATAATCCAAAAAGGAAAAGTTGAAGTCATTGGTCCAAGTATCGGTTTAGAATATATCAGAAATATTATACATATAAAATGATCAATTTAATAAAATAATTGTATAGAATTAATAAATAAAAAAGCATAGTAATAAAGTAATTTCACACGCAACGATTACTGCGCTTTCTTAATCCATTCCGATATTTTATTTCGGACATTATCGTTACAGTAAAATATTAGACAGGTCCAAGGACTAACTTATCGATCCAATTCTAATTTTGTAATATTTTTATAAATAAAATTTACAATAATATGCTATAAATAATAAAGGACTGTCCGGTCCGGTCCAAGCAATTAATTACATGTTTCATGCATCTAGTTTAAATTATTTAATTTTTTATGTAAATTAACAACAAAGATGAATTGGTTAGTGGTAACAGCGCTTGGCATGGTGTGAAACGTGCAGCATGCCTTGGGTTCGAATATTTGTTGTACTGTACCTATTTCAAAAAAAATTTCAAAATTTTTTTTTTTTTTTTTATTATTCATTCATCCCGGGTGATTTGACAATTTCTTAAAAGTTCTACCCATTTTTTTTACAACAAAAATTTTCTATAAACTCAGCATGGCTTTGTAATTTGAAATTTTAGAGGCGTGTTAATAAAAAGAAGGTCGCGTCTCCACCACTCCACCACCAGTATGAAAAGAAGGAATGGTCTTTTCATGCACTTATCACAACATGTTTTACTGTAAATAAACGCAAGACTTGGAGCAGTAATCTCTAGTCTTCTGAAAGTTCGCCTTAGATGATGAAATTATTCAATCTTTACTTATTGAATAACTAAAGTGGTCGCGGTTACAGCATAGAGTATAAGAGTAATTAATATATTTTTTTATCTGAACAATTGTACATTTGAAAGTTGTTATGAGTTTTTTTAAACATTAAATTTATACTAATTATACTAATTATGCTCAATCCGACACCTTTTGAAAGTATTTTAGCTCTTTTCCCAAAACCATTTATGAAATTTCAACATCATCAACATCGCTGTCGTCATTTCCAAATTGTTTATAGGAATTTCTCATATAAAGCTGTACAACGTCCAAATATGTTACAATGAATTCAATTATCAAAAA